GAGTCAAACATCATTATATTCCCTTCCATATAGTTTACTTTTTTTAAAAACATATACAGGGTGGGGCAAAGTAGGTTTACAATTATGGGTAAGTGAAAGTTTATTCTTATTACTTATGTATTATTGTATTATTTTCCATACAAACAACTGTTGACCTATGTTTGCCCCACTCTGTATATACCCTACTTTTTTAAAAAATATATTCTTATTGATTTTTTACAGAGAGGAAGGGAGAGGGATAGAGAGTTGTGCAAGAGGCAGCTGAGAGAGAAACATCGATCAGCTGCCTCTTGCACAACCCCCACTGGGGATGTGCCTGCAACCAAGGTACATGCCCTTGACTGGAATCGAACCTGGGACCTTGCAGTCTGCAGGCCGACGCTCTATCCAGAGCCAAACCGGTCAGGGCACCCTACATTTTAATGCACTATTTTTCTTTTTTAATTTTTATTATTATTTTTAATGTGTTTTTATTGATTTCAGAGAGGAAGGGAGAGGGAGAGAGATGGAAACATCAATGATAAGAGAGAATCACTGATCGGCTGCCTCCTGAATGCCCCCCACTGGGGATCGAGCCCGCAATCCAGGCACGTGCCCTTGACTGGAATTGAACCTGGGACCCTTCAGTCCACAGGCCAACACTTTGTCCACTGAGCCAAACCAACTAGGGCCTATTTTTCATTTTATTTTTTTTCCTATTTTTCATTTTAAAATAGTAGTTCAGAACTTTCAGTTTCTGATTCCACATGTAGAGAACTTGAAAGTCACCACTCTGTCTCATGCTGAGGGGTGGGAGCAGCCAGGGAGAGGTCAATGGGGGGAAAAAGTATGTTTAATACTTTCAACAATAAAGAATTTAAATTTTTTTAAAAAAGGTAGACAGAAAAATCAACAACTTTTCTAGGATCCTTAAGAATGGCAAGGACACAGTGAAAACCACTGACCCCAATATTGCAGAGCCACATAGGGAAACGCAGGACTCATGGGTTACTGGAGCAGAGACTAAGGAATGAAAGCCACCAGGGAAACCAGTGCCCGAACCACCAGAAAAACCTAAACTGTAATGGACCAACTGCTGGAGACTCAGTGTAGACACGTCTGGGAGTTAAAAACTCCATGAGGGTCTACACAAAACCTGCACATGGATGTGTATAGTACATTCATACAACAACAAAAATTAATGAAATAAAGCTGTACATATCAACATGAATGAATTTTAAGGTATATGAATGCTAGAGGCCCAGTGCACAGATTCGTGCACACTGAAAGTAAATTAATTAGAAGGTGGCTGACGGGGCAGGACTGGGCGAGACGGGCTGGACACGCCCTGGAGCCAACCTCTCACAGTCCCTCCCCTGACAGACGGCTGCACCTGGGGCAGCACCCGGGGCTCGAAGGGTGTCTGCTGAGTGAGCAGAGGTCCCTCCAGCACGTAGGGTCCCTC